TGCCACATGGAGGGGCCATGCCATGGGACACACCTCCCACTGCTCAGGGAGGCTGGACGGGGGACTGTGGCTCAGCAGTGCCTGAGGCACCCACACAACTCCCGGTCCCCAGTGTGACCTGCAGGGCCTGTGGAGGAACAAGCTGGGCTCCAACATGACCCTCTTGGTTCTGAACACAGCCGGCACCTTCTCGGGCTTCTACCACACTGCTGTGACAGTCACCAACAAGCAGAGCCTGGGGTCACCCCTGCAAGGGGCCCAGCAGCACCCTGGTGCCAAGAGACACCCCACCTTCGGCTTCACCGTGCACTGGCAGTTCTCAGGTACAGCAGTGCTGGTGATCCCCTGCCCATGCTGGCAGTGGGGAGCCCTCCAGTTGGTCCCCCACAGCAATCAGAACGTCCAGAGGAACTGGACACAGACTGTGGGCACAGACTGGCCACACACACTTGCTTCTACCCTGGGATGTGCTGATGGGAGAGGTGCCTGTCTGGGGTGGGTAGCGGGGCAGTCTGTCTGGGAAAGGTGGCAGGGGTGTCCATCTGTGTGTCTGAGGGACATGGAAGAGTTGGAGCCCATCTGTCTGTCCGGGTGATGTGGAGTCATCCCATCTGGCCAATCTGGCAGGCAGGTCCATCTCTCTGTCCAGGGAATGTGCTGCGTGGTGTCTGTCTGTCTGTCTGCCTGCCAACATCAGGTGGCCCAGGTGTCTCTGTCTTGAGGTGCAAGCCCTCAGCCCCCTCTGCCTCTCTCACCCCTGCCAGACTCCACCACAGCCTTTGTAGGCCAGGGCTTTGTGGATCGCTGTGGGAAGGAGACACTGGAAACCACATGGCTCCTGTGGGAAGAGGTCTCATCCCACAGGGACACCTGGAAAGCCACCAGCTGAGCCCTGTCCTGGCCCTCCCACCCCACAGCCCTCACTCCCCTCCTCCTGACATGTCTTCCTTGCAGGGTTGGCACCTCCATCTTCACCCACATCAAGTGATGGGAAAAGGGCCCAGAGCTGCCTGCAGCCTGCTGTCCTTCTGCATCCCCAAGGCTCTCCACTGTAGCACTCTCAGGCTGGGCTCCTGCCTGCTCCCAGCATCCTGCACAGGAAACACACCCTCCCCTTGCCCTGCTTCTTCCCAGTGCCTCCCAGCAACGTGCTGATGGGGCTGTCCCTTCCCAGAGCTTGCTGCTGCCACACATGGAGCCAAATAAAGCCTTCTCCAGTTGGCAGAGAGCCGTGCCCCATGTGTCCCTGGGATGCAAGTAGCCACTCTGTGGCCCTGGGCAGAGCAAGGTGGGGGACGAGTGGTGACTGGGGGAGCAGAGGGAAGTGTTATGGAGGGGCTGGGAGGGGTAGGGCTGGGGGACAGGAGAAGTACAGGTGCTGGGTAATTCTGCTTCCTGACCATGGCTTCAGGCCTCAGCAGGTGCCTTCTTGCCCATGCATATTTGGAGATTCATAGGGGCCTTGTGGTGGGTGGCCCCAGGCAGCATCCCCAGTGTGGAGCAGCAGGATACCCCACAGCCAGGGATCAGGGTGAAGGCTGCATGCTGGCAAGCCACTACTGTCACCTGGCCTCATCCTGTGTCTCTGCCTCCATTTCCAACTTCTGCTGTGGATGGTGGGCTTGGTGCTGCGTGCACATGTAGGGGAGAGCTGGGTGCCAGGCTCCACAGATTGCAATCTGGCATGTTGGCGTGGTCCAAAATCTGTACTGGATACTGGAGGGAACATGAGAGGGAACTGGAGCTCCAGGGGAAGCTGCTGGGTAGACTGGGTGGCTAAAGCCAGATGCTGAAGGGCTCCATGGTCTATGTGCACAGCTCTGCATATATTTCCCAATACTTGCCTGTCCCCTGATTAGTGAGAGGGTGGAACAGGGTACAGATCCTTTCTGATGTTCAAATTCACAGGATGTCATCTGTACCTTAAACTTTGTTTTATCAGCTAATTAGGAAAGGGAACAAACCAAACAGGGGCCCTTTGCACTGATATGACTGAGACTGGAACTCACTAATCCATCATTTCTGCAACTCATGAAGTTTCATTAGTTACATAATCTGAACTGTGCAGCTCCCAGCTCCTGCTCCTGAGCACCAGAGGGAGAGGCTGTGTGGGCAGGGAGAGGTGCAGAGCCTGCCTTGGACTGCAGGATGGCTGGGGGAAGCAACTGCCGGATGGGGCAGGGATTTTGGAGCACACAGTACCCCGAGAAAGTGTCAGGGCCTGTTGGTCACTCTCTTCCTCTCACAGTTTGCCTGCCCTTCCCAAACCTTCCTCAGCCTCTACTCCTCTCCCTCATTCCCTGCTGGGCTCTCAGGCTGCTCTTAGCACCACACCAGCTCCCAAAGTGTGCACAGACTATCCAAGGGTTGCTTATACTGAGTACAACTGGTTGATGTGCCTGGTGGTCCAGCTTTTGGTCAAAAGCCACCCCTGCATCCTCATCCTCACCCTTGCATCCTTGTCTTTGTGCCCTCATCCTCACCCTTGCATTCTCATCCTTACCCCTGCACCCTCATCCTCACCCCTGCACCCTCATCTTCACCCCTGCCTTCCACACACAGTCCCCAGTTCATCCCCATTGCACACTGGAGTCCTTGGCACTGCCCTGGCCATAATGGTCTCCTTTTCACACTCCCTCTCTCCAAACACCCACTGTGGCTGTCAGTAGCACCAAGAGCTGGTTGTTTGGGTCCCCAAAGGTTTCTCTGAATGGTCTGTAAGGTCAAAGCCTTGGGACCCCTGTGGGAATGGAAGATGAGGCTGGGAGCCCTGGTGGGTGAGCCCAAGATGGGACAGGGGCATGGAGAACCTTGCAGGATCAGGGCACAAGATTTCATTTCTGTCCTTTCATTACCCACATGACTGCAAATTCCTTGTCTCTTAGGGTCTCATAAGAAGGGAGCCCATGGGGTAGGAGAGGAACTAAGCATTCTACTTGCTAAACAAAGAAACAGAAAGCAAAACTGCAGCATTTACAAGAAACCAGTACCAGCAGTGCCATCCACACTGCAATCAAAAGCTATCTTGAACACTCCACACCCTGACTCTGAACCTGATTTGATCCTGCCTTTTTGCTTTTGTCTGGTATGTGCAACCAGGGCTGCCCCCCTCCAGCCCACAACACCTGGGGTTTTCCTATTGCTGTTGGAGCAGGTTCATTTCCTTCATCTACCAAATCCCTGCACCCACTGCAGGTCACCATCTGTCCACACACAAATACCCTTGCCCAGACCTCATGACTCCCTGTCCTTCTGTCCAACCTCTGCAGTGACCAGGGAGTGGTTTGGGGTACAGGAGCTCCTGTGGGGCAGGGTGGAAGCCCAGACACAGCCCTCAACCAGTAGACATGGGGCTAAGGTCCCCCAGACTGGGTGATGCCAGTGGGAAGCCCCACGCAATCCCTCCTACATCCTGGTTCCCACTCATCCCTGTTCCCATCCCTGTTCCAGACCCCATGTCCATTTACACCCTTATTCCATTACCCATACCCATTCCAGTCCCCATCCCCACCCTCATCCCCATCTTCAAGCCTCATTCTTGCCCCGTCCTCATCCCCCTCCCCCCCCCCCCCCCCCGCTTCCAGCCCCATTCCTGTTCCTGTCCTCGTCCCCATCCCTATCCACATCCATTATCCGTCATCCCCGTCACCATTCCCACCCCCGTTCCCAACTCCCGTGCCTCTTCAACACCCTCCTCTCCTCCAATGCCCGTCCCTGTCCCTATCCCCATTCCCATCCCCGTTCCTCCTGCAAGTGCCGCCCCAGGGCTTTCCCGGAAAGCAGCGAGGGATTCGGGATATAAAAACACGCCGGCGGCACTGGCACGGCGACTTTCGGTCTCGCCGCTGCATCCCGATGAGCCGCCGCTTCCTCTCTGTCCTCGCTCTGCCCGTCGGGGCGGCAGTGGCCGCGGCCGCGGCGGGATGCCAGGTGAGAGCTTCTGCTGGGACACACGAGTGGAAACTCGGCCCCGGGAGAGGCTCAGTGGGAGCACGTCTGGGGGTCCCGGAGCTCGGGGAGGGACACGCGTAGGAGACTCACCGGGGTGGTGGGATATGACGGGGGAGCTGCAGCGCTTGAGGGAGAGGGACACGCGTCCCCCCATCTGCAGGGGTGGGGGGAGGGAATCCCCGACAGCTGGAGGACCTCCTGCTCCACGGGGTACACAGACGGCGCCCCTGACGAGGGAGATGCTCCGAGGAAGGAAGGGATGTTCTGGGACTGTCCGAGTCTCTGAGAGGAATGTACATGGGGATTCCTTCCCTGCTGCAGGGGGCACGCATGTGGGAACCCTGCACTTCTCCCCGAGGGACATGGAGGTGAACTGGGGCAGAGAAAGGATGGGGCCCCTGCCCCAGTGATGTGACTTACCCCTGCCTGAGAAGGTGTAGTATGGGAGAGGACGGGCAGTACTTGGAAGTGAAAGCTGAGCCTTGCAGATGGGATGTGCAGGGCTCTGGCTGTGACACAGCCCACCACGGACCTCAGGGCTCCCCACTCATGCCACACATGAGTGCTGAGCACTGCACATGTCCTCACAGACATGGACAGATGTACCCTGGGCTCTCACAGCTCACTTGGCAGGGCTACAGTAGGGGATGTTTTCTGTGTTCCTGCCAGTCGAGGGCTCCCACCTTTAGCTTTTCCTCTTCACCTCTCCCCTTTGCTCAGCTTACTCCAGCTTTTGACCTTCCTGGCACGGCTGAGATAACAGTGACTTTATAAGTTGTGTCTTTTAAAGACAAGTGCTTGGGCACTCACGGGGCTTCAGAGACACCCTGAAGTGCCACTGTTCATGGCTTGACCTGTGTTTTCTTTCTTTTCCAAGTTCCTCTGCCAGGAAGCAAAGATTCCAAGGGAGAATAAGGCCACTGAGAATGAGGCAACCAACAGCAGGTGGCGGCTGAGCCGCTGGCACAAACGCCCCACAGGGAGTGGCAAGGTGAGTGACAATATCCCATGGGAATTGGGGGGTGCAGGCAGGGGGCACAGCCTGCGGGGCAGGGGCTGTGTGCAGGCAGCCCCCCTGACACATCTGCCTGTCCCCAGCCATGCGACCTGACCGGCTGGTGGGAGAATGATCTGGGCTCCAAAATGCACGTGTTCGAGGTCGACAGTGAGGGCAACTTCTCTGGCGAGTACCACACCGCCGTGTCAAGCACTGACAAACCCATCCAGCCATCCCCCCTTGTTGGTTCCCAGCACTTGGACAAGGATGGGCAGTGCACCTTCGGCTTCACTGTCAACTGGAAGAAGTTTTCAGGTCTGTAGCTGCAGCTATGGCTGCTTGTGGGTGGGGTAGTGGGATGAGGAGGGGAGCTCATGTATGTCCCGATGCCCATCCCAGTCCCTGTGCTCTCTCTCCTGTCCCCGTCTGTCCTTTCCTGATCCCTCCCCACTGTGGATGGTGTCTGCAGACAGCAGGACACATCCCAAAACACTATTTGGGTGAAATGGCACCAAGAGTTGCTTTGGCAATATCTCTCCCATGCAACGTTTCCCTACAACCATCTAGATACACTCGGGCTCCATGAGCATTAAGTCCACTAGTGCTTGTGAAGCTCCAAAATCAGCTGGGGTCCTGCTGGGGTGCTAAAAGCCACCACTGCTCCAGATTCCACAGCTGTCTTTGTGGGCCAGTGCTTCTCTGGTGACAATGGGAATGAGGTCCTGGAGACCTCTTGGCTGCTGCGGGAGAAGGTCGACTCCCTGCCCAGTGACTGGAAAGCCACCAGGTGAGCCAAAGCACACACAGTCCATCTGGGATTCCTACCCCTCTGCTGGCTGGGCACCAATGGGCTACTGGTTCCTCACAGGACCGGCCACAACACCTTCATTCGGACAGGCTGAAAGAAGGGAGAAGTCTCACTCTCACCAGACTTGGCAGACAGGAGCCCCCTCAGCAGGATCAGTGTGTACCAGCATCCCCCGTTGTTATCAGCTCTGGAGAAAAATGTTTCAAAAAGTACCATAAAACATTAAAGATTTTTCATTTAAACCAAACCTTGTGCAGTTTGTGGATATGTCCCAGGAAAGCTGGGCTAAAACACTGTGGTGGGTGCAAGATGAAACTCTTTTTGTCCTATTCTGGGAAGAGACTGGCCCCTAGAAATCCCCTTTTTCAGCCCAAACAGGATGGTGCATCCCCAAAGTAAGTGACCCTCTGA